ATGCTAGAAGGTTGTTAGCTTTGTACCAGGACAGAACCACATCATTTAGAAACCCTTTTTTTTTTTTTTTTTTTTTTTTTGTGGATTGATCAGAATGATCTACATTTTTGCATCTAAAGACTTCAAGATCCTTTCTTGGGTATATTCTAACCTGTTGGGACCAGAACATTAATGATCTCCTTTCTAGAGTAATTGTACACTCAGCTAGATTTCAGTCCGTTTCTATGGCACACTTGTCACCTAAATTTGCAAAGTCACAACTTGACCAACAGGCCAGTTTTTCCCAGGCATGCCTTGGTACATGCTTCCAGGTCAGATGGTGCTGTTTTTATCAGCACTCTTAGATCTGACTCTGAAATAGCTCCTTCGTCCTATGTGTACTGGTTGGCTATCACTTGAAGTGGAGTACCTATCAGGACACTGCTTCAGAGAGGAGAGGTTATTTTACTTTTACAGGAGTTCTTAGAGATGTCTTTATGTGCTCCACTGCTTGCCCTCTTTTCCCTCAGCTTTACAGTCTTGTCGTTTGGGACTTCGTGATAGGGAAGGAACTCAGAGCCATTTGCCTGTGCTGTTTGATGTATCCTTGGTACAGGACACGAGAGAGTCTGAAGCACATAAATGGCTTGAGCAGGTCCTACTACTGAAAATACCGAAGGCCGTAGACTTGTTTTCACTTTAGAAAAGATATGCAAATTTGGGTCAAATTTGCATATCTTCCAATTGCTTTTTTCGAAACTTACGTTTGAAAAAGTAGTTTAGACGCGGTTCTTTCGAGGGTAAAAAAACTCTTTTTCGAAAGAACCGTGTAAACCTGAATGGTTCTAAAGAAAAAGGGTCTTTTTCTCGAAAGAACCATGTCTAGACTTTCTTTTTTGAAATGAAGGTTTCAAAAAAAGCAATTGGAAGAAGATATGAAAATTCGAGATGTGCCTTAAGATGAACCTGAAGTGGAGTGCACGTAGTTGGATGCATTATTTAAGATACAGACAAAACTTTGGTTGTGGGTGACTTTATTCGCTAGGCAGATGTGTAACTGCACCTTACTTATATTACTAATATTTTAGATGTGTGCATCTGTCTGAGTCTTTGTTGAAGAACTTGTAAATGGGAAGAAGTAGGACCACCACACTTGGGATGCAGCTTCCTCTTATAACTCAAATCAAGGTCAGGATTTGGTTGTGCCAGGATAATGTGATGTGCCTGGAATTCGGTTGTTGCTCATTAAGAGGGATCCGGTAGGAGAGAGTTATACTCCAGAATGACCACAGGGGAGCAGCAAGAGGCTAGAGATGGGGACCAAGACAGCTATAATAATCCCATTGGGCAGCTATTCTACTCTATATGTTTCAAAGTTGATCTCTGTCTCTGTCCCTGCATCTGGATGAAATGAACCCTTCCCTCTGCTGTGTCTACTGTTGTTGCAGAGGCCATGGACGGGTGCATCTCATGTGGCCCCAAGCTGTTGCAGTGAGAGAGGGCAGAGGTTGTCTTCTCTCCCTGGGGCAGCCTGCATAATGACCCCCTCATCCCCAACCCCACCTCAGAACAACGATTTAAACTAAGGAAAACAAAACTTATTTAAGGATTCAAATGGTGTTGGGTAAATTTTCCAGTAAATAAAATAAATTGTGATACTTAAAAATTATCACTTTAAAATTAATACTAATTACAGTAAGATTTATTTTCTTTTAAATATACACTATGCAATAGAGATGCAATAGAGATGCTTCTGGACACCCAAGTTCGCAAAGTTGTGGGCTGTTGGATACTCTTCATTAATACCTTGCAGCATGGGAGTGAATTCAATCTCTTAATTGTAACTGGCTTAACATTCATAAGTCGTAATTTCCTTTTACTTTAAAAGTCTGATACATTGAAGAGAAGCCACTGAAGGTATGTGAGTTCAGCCTTCCTGAATGTCTTTGATTCGTAGGCATCTCTCAGGTCTTTCCTGATGATGTTTTTGCATGTTGATTCTTTGATAGCTATATTTAAAAGAGAGAGCTTAGTTCTGACTAGTAAAAATAATCTTTTAATGACTGGAGTATAATGTTGGAAGCCACACTGTTAACTAACAAAGAAAGCTGACTAAAGGACTTGTGTTCTGATTTAATAGCTTGTGGAGCAAGAATCTTCTTTAAATTCTTTGCTGTTTGAACGAAAAAAACCCCCAAAAACAAATAAAGCTAACCCCAAAAATCCTCCTGTGTACCTATGAAACGAGCTAGGTGACAGCACTTCAGGTACAGAACAGAGATCTTCGTTCTAAAAAGACACTGGTGCAGGAGACAGGTAGTTGTTCTCAGAGTCTATATGAATTGAAAATGAATAGCATGGGTGGGAAAACTATGCAGCTGCTAGCCATACATGGCAATTGACAGGTACTATATATGCTGCTCCTGTTCATCTAAACTGGGTTTAACCCACCAAAGCTCGTGTTCCTGTATATTTACGTTAGTCTCTAGGGGTGTGTCTAGACCAGTGTTTCTCAATCTTCTTTTGCTCATGGCTCCCTTCTGAGCCTCATTTATCATATACCTAGCAGTTAAGTTTGGGTGGCCCCCTCAAACGTACTGTGCCCCCATATGTTCTGTTTTTTCTATGTGGCCCCCTTGAAGTAAGGCATGGCCCCTTGCGGAGCCATATGCCCCATGTTGAGAACCACTTCTAGATTACAGGGTTTTTTCAAAAAGTGGCCTTTTTTCGAAAAAACTTCACCTGCATCTAGACTGCTGGCCACGTTCTTTCGAAAGTAAATCGAAATAATGCAGCAGTTTTTTTTCGACCGCAGAAAACCTCATTTTATGAGGAAGAATGCCTTTTTTTGAAAGTGCTCTTTCGAAAAAAGGTGCTATGTTAATGCAAACTGTTCTTTTGGAAGTACTGGTTGTAGTCTAGACACTTTTTCAGTGTCTCTTTTTGAAAGAGGCTTGCAGTCTAGATGTAGCCTAGGAGTACATCTAGACTACATCCTTTTTTCGAAAGGAGAGACAAAAATTACTACTGAATTTGCATATCTTCCGATTGCTTTTTCGAAAGCTCTTTTTTCCAAAAAGAAAGCAGTTTAGATACAGTTCTTCTTTTAAACAAAAACCCTTTTTCGAAAGAACCCTGCACACCACATTTTTTGAGGAAGCAAGGTTCTTTCGAGAGTGTTTTTTTTTTTTTTTTCCCAAAAGAACCACATCTAAACACCTTTCTTTTTTTGGAAAAAAGCTTTCGAAAAAGCAATGGGAAGATATGCAAACTAGCACCAAATTTCATGTCTCCTTTCAAAAAAAGAATGTAGTCTAGATGTATCCTAGGGTGCCACAGGATCACTTGTTGGTTGGTTTGTCACTCTCTCCTTCAGAGACTTAAGATAACAATTGCAGTATTTGGGCAGTGCAGAACCCTTGACTTTTAAAAAATAAGCTGTACTAAATTCAAGGTTGCTTGAGTCCCTCATCGTATTCTGTACTGTTTGTGGACCCCTCTCCACCCACACCCATAAGTCCATGGTACATAATATGTACCTTGTGCCAGGTAGAAATTGTTGACACATCTGCACCAGATGGAGTCCTCTGTCAGGACAGACATGCCTAAAGTTGTAAAGATTGTTTTAGGGGGAACAAAAGGGAAAATGTACTCTTTCCAAGTAGATTAAGGCTGAAATACAAGCTCTGAAACTACAACCTGGAATTCGCCTAACTAGGTGCTTGAATTCACTTGTTGAGAAATGTTAAACTTGGGCTGACTTCAGAAGGTCTTGTAAACTGAACATCGCTGAAAATACATCCATGGAAGACGAAAGCTTAGAATAGTATGGTTTTCGTACGAGAAGGGCAATTGAAATGCTGAAGAAGTCAGGCCTTTACACTACACGATTGGAACTTTAAACATGAAGATAGGCATTGATTTTTTTTTTTTGTTATCTTGGAGTACATTAATGCTATCCTATATTACCGTCATGGACTAGTCTGATATATTAAAGGAAGCGCTAAAATTGTCTATACACAAATGCCATTGTATGCAAAGCTTAAAAATTATTTCCTAAAGCTTATCAATTCAAATATTTTAGCTTTAGTACAACAGGGAGGACAATCAAACTTCGATTTGAAGTTGAGCGAATTGGTGAAAGTGCAAATGGCCAAGGTTTATGTTCAATTGATTTTTAGCAATAAAGGAAGACTGTGGTCTAGAGGACAGGCCAAATATTGGAAAAACCTCTTCCTAAAGAAGAATTGAAAAAGAAGCAGCAGTGTAGCCATACTCTGAGACTGTATATAGGCTGGGGATAGCAAGTGATGGAGAGGAGGAGAGAACAGAGGGTGGGGCTTCAAGGAAGGGGTGGGGTCTTGAGGAAAGGATGGGGGACATTTGGCTTGTTCTGACATTTAAAAAGTAAAATGCTTTTAAAAGCTGCAGTAGAGCTTTACACAAATCACACTTACATTCAGTTTTGTATCGTACTTTATGGTTAAAGTATTTTAAAAATCTGAATAATATGAACTACAGAATTAAGTAAACGTGTTTAAAAAAATATAGAATATTCTTCCAGTTCAAAAAAAATCACACCCAATGTAAACCCACTAAATGTAGTGTAAAGGTAAATATTTAGTTGAAGTTCACATGTATTTAATGGCTAGCAACCAATGAACATCAGCCTTTCCTTTAGGGGAAAATAGCATATACTAATGCAAAGTAATATTGAAAACAAATTATTTAAACTAAGGTTTCCTGCCTGTGGATTAAAATTCAAATTGTATCACTTGATTTTTTTTTTTTTTTTAATAAATCCATATCGGCAGTGTGCAGGACTGGGATACCAGAGATTTCAATTGTCTAAATTAGTTTTAGGTATCTGTTGTTGTCAACTTTACCTGATGACTAACATATTGCCTTTGAGAATGTGTTAGTAGATGTAAACTATTGAGATAGAATGTAGAAAATGAGGTTAAATGAAACTTTCCTGTCTTGACTGAAAACTTACTTACTTCAACTTTTTGTTTCAATAGTTGAACCCATTGTGAGCCTAACAAAGGGACCAAACTCTTTAATAGATGGTGAAAATCAGACAGTAGCAGCCATTTGTACAGCAGCCACTGGAAAACCTGCTGCAGTTATTGATTGGGAAGGAGATCTTGGAGAAATGGAATCCAGTTCTACTTCATTTCTAAATGAAACTGTAACAGTTGTCAGTCAGTACAAACTGAAACCTACCAAATTTGCCAGAGGAAGACGCATAACCTGTGTTGTGAGGCATCCAGCTTTGGAAAAGGAGATGAGATATCCTTACTTGTTGGACATACAATGTAAGTATATAGCAAGTTAGCTACTGCTTTCACAACTGTTCTGTCATATTACAACTAGTCCATGAAGAGTTGAAGTGAGTTGACCAAGGACACTCAGCAGGCCATTGGCCAACCAGGGAGTAGGCTCCAAAGTTTGTAGCTTGCAGCTATTGATACATTCTTTTGTTCTCTCACACTGAATATTAGGCCTCATGCAGTAATCGGTTCTATCAAAAATATTTACCATCAGTTAGTAGATCATGACATAAACACTTAACCTAAATAGAATTTTCAGTAAATGTAAAGAACTGCTTCTTTTAATGCTTTCCCACTTTTAATCAATTTGGTGTATTTTGGGCTTGCAGGAAGTAACATTTAAACTTAATTACTGATTTTGCCATCAGCCATCTTGAGAAATACTTGAATAAATAAGCTTAAGGTCTGAGAGAACAATATTACTGTCAATGGCAAACTTGGAATCAGGACATTTTTGAAATATTAAAGGACTAAATTTATGATCAACTACTCTAATCAATACACAATTTCCCATCAGATAAACCCTCTCTTTAAAGAACTCTTAAAAATCTTGTTTACAAATACCTTCTATTGAATTGATGAACTTTTAACAATTTCAGAGCAGTCTATATTAGAGGTTTGGCTGATTAGCATGTGTTTAATTGTATTGGGGAAAAATAGAATGTTAAATCTTTTCACTAATACTAGTTAGAAATAAGTTAACTTTGACGTCTTCCAGAAAAAATTTATAAAAAAGGTATGGACTTCATACTCATGACCAACTTGCTTAGTATTCTTATAAAATTGTTCTGAGTATGAATAGAAAAGTAGTTTTGCTTAGTTCTTTGTTTTTAATAACCATCTTAAACTGAGTCCTAGATTTCTACACTTGAATCTGATTAGATTATTTTAATGGATTATTCATAAATACAAGAAAAAGAAGCAAGTTGTGAGAACTGTAAATACTCCATCCAGACCCTGTGCCCCGATATACAAATAATGATCTAAACTATCATGACTTTAAAAAAAAAAAATTACAAATAGTATTCAGTTCATCTTGACTTTATAAGGCAATCCTGTTGAGAGAAACCACAAGTTTTTACACTGCTGCTACCTACATGTCATTTGCACTAGTGCACAGTCTGGAGAGGGGTGAAAAAAGGTTCATCCTAACAATTGATAGTGCTGAAGAGAGATGGGCATAACAAGAAAATTGCCAGTCTCTCTGTTGCATAACCTTTTTGGGCTAGCCCAGTAGCAATAATAAATATCCATTATATGACTCAAATAAATTAACACTAAATTATGTAAGAGTGGGAAAGATTTGGCTTCTGTGAGAAGAGGGATGTATTTAAAGTTTTGCTCTTGTTTCCTCCCCCCCGCTTCCCAACTTTTGCTGCCTGTTTGGAGGAAGTAGTTGAACCTGATGTCCTGGACTCAGTAACTGTCCTACTTTGACTTTGACTCTGCTAGACATTTACTTTTTACTGTAGGAGACCTTTTTCTATTGGTGTGTCGTTTATATTTCAGCATTCACATTTTGTAATATACTGTGAATTTGCCCCTAACACATCCGTAGAAGAATTATAATTGTATTTTTAAAACTCGAAGACTTTCTGCAGCTGGCTAAAATGAGATTCTGGGGGTAAGAATACTGAAGGGTTGAAAAGTTGGGAAGATGGGATTCCAATTGGTACCATTATCATTAATTCTTTTGGGTCCTTTGAAAAGAAATTAAAAACAAAAAAGAAGAAACTTAAGTTTCTTGTTTAAAAGTATTACATAAGCACAGTGCATATACTCACTACAGCATAAATCATTAGCCAAAAGTTTCTCATATCATACGTGCAATTCATCCCTTACACTGTATAATGATTTTTTGAATTCACTGAATTTAATATATTTGGACAACTGAAGTTAAAATTGCATTGTACTAAAAACTGGCATTTTTGGTGCCAAGGCTATATAATTATCTCAGTTTGTATCAGTTAAGAAACTAAAAATTAATGGAGCCTACTGATTTGCATTGTTAAAACTCTGACACCAGTGTACATGTCATTTACTAAGCTTTCCAGGTAGAATTACCACTACTCGTTGGATATTAAGTAGTGCTATACTATTAGTTAAATACAGCATGTAAACGTATCATTCTAAACAATGCACATCTCTTTTTAAAGACTGTACGTGAGTATCTGCATGTGAAATTGCACATATTTTGTAGATGCCCCTGAAGTTTCAGTAACCGGGTATGATGGAAATTGGTTTATTGGAAGAGAGCATGTTCAGCTCCGCTGCAATGCTGATGCAAATCCGCTGCCCATGGAATTTACGTGGACCAGGTAAGTGTATATGAAAACTGAAGATGAATTGTTCCGGTTAGGTACACAATTATTTCAGTAATGCAGAGCTTTGAAGAGTGTTACAGGGTTAAGACAAAGTTGAAACAAAGCCCTTGTATTTCTGTTAGCTTTTCTGGTTTCAACACGTGACTAGTGATCACTAGATGTGGTTAGAAATGATTGCTATTGATATGTCCCAAGTTAATGAATCAGACACATGGATTTATATTTCTGGAAGTTTAAAAGAAAAATATTGGCCTTCTATGATTTTTCCTCCTAAGGAAAGGGGAACCAGTAGCAAGTGGAGTAGGAAAGTACAAATAATTTTTACTCTTGAAGTCTGAACAATTGCCAGCTCTTTAGGATAAATCCATTTTCATAAATGGAACAATTTCTTTGGCAAGTGATTGTGATATTTGAATTTCTTGAGCTTAGTGTAAGACATTGGAAGCATCTATTGTCTGTCCTTCCTCCTCTCTCTGAGTTGGGAGTATATTTAAAGTAAAGATGCAAAAAGACTGGATATTTGTTGAATAAAATATGAAGTATCATTTCAGTAATCAAATTTACCATGCCCTAAAGATAAGGCACTGGGACATCTGGTATTGGCCATTGTCAAAAGACAGGATACTGGGCTAAATGGACATTTGGTCTGATGCAGTATGGTCATTGTTATGTTTTTACGTTAGGCACTGTATTTACTTGGAAATAAGAGGCATAAGATGACATGTCATGACTCAGTTTGTCAGTCTGTATTGCAGTCTGGTATTTTGTATAGCATTCTGTTGTGTGGTTAAAACTTGCATTTTGTGAATGCCATATGAAATGGGTGGCTTTACTGAGTCCTGCCTTCCTGCCATGTGCAGTCTTGCATGTTAAGTATGTTCCCTCGAAGGAGATACATGAAGCAAATATATGGCCCAATGCATAACTTGCCTTTTTTCCTCTTAAAGAAAAACTTAGACTGGCCATGTGAAGTTACTTTATTTGAAACAAAGAAAATAACTATATTAAAGTGTTTAATCATCTACAATAAACCATAATAGTGTTGTGAAAATCATTGGCATACAAGGTGGTAATCATTACAGATCAGTTTTAGTATCCTCAAGTTGTTTCTTGGATCACTAGGAAGGAAAAAAAAAAAAAAAAAGGCCAGTAGTTCAATCTTTAAAATTGTTTGTTTGAAATGTATGGTGGTTAATGACAAAATAAATAAGAACTCCAAAATTTCTTCAGTGGGATCTTCTAAACTCAAAATAAAATATGCTACACAATTATTAAATTTGATTTGTTTCTTAATTTTAAGTAGGCTTAATTTAATCAACCTGGCTTATGTGATATCTCCCACCCCCCCACTCCCACACACAGCCTCCCACACCCCATATTGTAACATCTAATGGAGTGACTATCAGTTAATCCCCAGTTAAATTTCATTAAATCCATTACATTCACTTTTAGCTTGACTAAACTGCTCAACATGGAAACAATATAAAAGCATAATTACAAAGAAAATGCAAGCTGCTTTTCAAAATTATACATATAAGGTGGCTCATTGTCTCTTCTTCAGTATGTTATGTTGCAGATTAAAAATGACAAGTAATTTAATGATCTAATTTCAAAAGTATCTTAACTTCAGTAGTAGGTGGCTTTTGGTAATCCTTGACCAATTCCCAGATTTAATTTAATCCCTTATGTGGTACATACAAGTCTGATACTTTGTAGAAGGAGAGAACTTAATTTCAAGAAATTGTAGAGGAATTTGTATACACATTTCTTGCGGTTAACTCTTTGGCAGAAATGTAATCCGTTATAAGAATGCCAATTTGTAAGAAGTTGAGGTAGTGGTTTATTGGCAGAATACTGTACTGGGCTATAATGCAGAGGGTCAGACCACTATTATGAGACTGAAAACTGCAAGGCTGAGATAGCTGGATAGTGGGTGGGGTATTTACTTGTAGCTAAGGATGCTAGATGGCAGTAGGTGGGGGAGGCAGATGTTTCTGTGAGAGCGGTCTTAAAAGCTGGATCACGGTGCCTGTCAGCTCCCCTCTCCCATCCTGCTGCCTCTGGTACAGATAAGCAAGGGGAGGAGTGCATGTAGTTGTGTGGATTAATTGATAAGCCTGGGCTGCTAGTTATACCTGACTGTTTTTTGATCATTTAAGGTATTTTTGTTCATTTAAGGTTCTTTCAGTAATAGTATAGCACAGGGCTACTGCACATGCAGCCCACAGTGTGGGTTGGGTTTAGGCGGGGCTCCACACACAGTCCACGGGTGGGGTCCTTTGAGCATGGCCTCCATTAGGCACACACTCCACAATGGCAAGACAATATAATGGTCTTCTGTTAATATGCATTTTAGTAGTTAAATCCTGGACTGTCATTGCTCATTAAAAGTGCTGTCATATGGGTAGAAATCAATAAAAATGTGATATTTATGCAATATCAGCAGGACTAACTTAAAAGGGGCCTGGGTGTTGTGTAGTCTTGCCTTAATCTTTGTATTCATGCCCATCAGTGTGAAAAACTATTTGCATGTATATGCAACCCCACTTAAGTTGTGGCCCCCAGCATGTGCTGTGAGTACATTGTGGCCCCTGGGGCTTCAGAAGTCGAGTAGCCCTGGAATATAGCACATGCTGAGCAACCTTAATAACCTGGAAATGGACAAATCTGTATACACTAAAGTTAATATTGAATCCTTATTTGGCTGAGGAGATGAAGAACAAACAAGTCCTTATTGCAGCAGTGTATAATATTCATGCAATGAGCACATGCATTCACAGTACAGGTACTCCCCAAGTTACAAACATTGACTTGAGAATGTCTGTCTGCTTGTAGAAACAAAAGTTCACCTACATCATCAGGCAGTGACATCCTTAGGATTTATGGGGCACTGCATAGCACTATTAAACTGGTGCCTCTGTGCCCAGTCATTCAGGGGACTTGATTTTTTTTGGATGTTTTTTTTATAATCTTTAGAAATACACCAATAAAAGAATTTTAAAGCAAATTTTAAACTAAAGTCTTGTGGACTAACAGTAAATGAAAAAACTGACAATATATATCTGGGGTTGGCAAATGGCTTTATTACCACTTGAATGGCTCTTTCATGGGTTCAATATTCTGCTAATAGGTCTAGGAGATGTTTTCACTTGTGAGGCTTTCTCTATACGGTCGCATTTTTGTTGCCAAAAACTGTGTGATGGTGACAACTGTGAGCGTGTTTACACTACAATGCAACTTTGGTCAAGAGAAACACCCAGTTTTTATGACACACAAATTTGAGCCCTGCAAAAGATTTGTCTTTTCTCCTCTCTTTATTGTTAACAATAGAGCCAGTGTGGACTCTGCTACCTTGTTGAGAGAACTGGCTTCTTGCAGAATCCCACAATGCCTGTCCTGATGGTGCTACTCATTGTTTTATGATCTCTGCTGCCCTGCAGTCATGCATCTCTCCTCTTTCAAAGCTCCTGGATGTACCTGACAACTGAGTGGGTTGCTCCATTTGGGGAACAAAGGAAGAGCAAATAATTGGAATGCTCCCATTCTGCCCTGCTAGAAGAGGGAGGATTGGAGAGACAGCTGTGCTTCTTTGACATTCCTCAGCACAGAGAGCTCACAGAGCTATTTGTGATGCCACTCCCAGCAGCTAAGTGCGCCATGGGAGAATTGTGAGGGAATCCCAAGAAATGCAGGGATCAGCTCTGCCTGCCCACAACACTGCACTGTGGGATGCTTACCCAAATGGCTTTGATCTGTTTGTCAAGGGAGCTAGCAATGTGGCCATGAAATGTTGACCATGAGAGACCAAAAAACAGTTTGACTGGTTTTCACTTTTTTCAAACTTTTGCACATCAACAGCATTTTTGTTGCCAAACCTTCCCAGTATAGAGATAGCTCTAAATTAACTAGATCCTCTTTGGAGAAAGCACAGCCACATTGATTGGAAGAGATGGGTAAAAATTAAGACCCATTAGTGTCCCAAATTTTCCAGATTACCTATGTATTCTGTGTAAGGGTGGCCCTGGTGTCGGAGACCTCAGTGGGAGGGGGTGATGGCTGCAGGATGCCTGGAAGTGTCTTTCAAAATTCCCTACCTCCTCCTCCTCCAATTAACCTCTCCTCAAGCACCAGTAGTCAAGATTAAATAAAAAAAGTTTCTCCTATTTTTCGTTGCAAATGTACAGTATTTCATCCACACTGTGGGTTAGGTAGATTCTCAGATTAGCCCACAAAAGCTTAATTGCCATTTATAATATTTCTATGCGAAAATGCATTCTGAGTTCTAAACAGCTGACCTACGAATGAACACTTGGAACACAACCCCTTTGTGAGGACAATTGGGAGGCAGTGCTCCCCCATCTCCACTTCCTACAAACACACGTGTGTGCGCACCAAGACCTCAGCCAGCTCTTGCACAACCTCTTTGTAACTTGGGGACTTCCTGTACATGTTGAATTTTAGGGTATTGATTAAAAATAGACACAATGTATGACATTGCATGGCATACTATGTGGAAGCTTATAGAAATAAAATATACACACATTCTTCTAAGTAGTTTCCCTGCGGTTACTCTGCATCAAAATATGTTGACTGCCCTTGCACTCTTGATCATATATTTTTGCCATCAGTGTCTGCAGGTTGTACTTAGATCTTGAAAAGATATATAGGCAAGGAAGGACCCTCTGCCATTGCATTTTTCTGAACCACCTGTGGCTTGCAAATTGCACGATCAGCATCTTCTACCAGAATTGTTCAGTTCTCTATACCTTGTTTTTATACCATTTATTCAATTTAGTATTTTGAGGGTTTTTTCCCCTGAGAGCACAAGTTCACAAAGAGAGAGTCCACTCTTCTCTCCATAGGGATTTTTTTTCTTCTAGCCTCACCCACAGCCCCAAGTGTGAGTTGTGCTCAAAACCTTAGGCTTCAAAACTTTCTAGATGTGCCACAACTCCTTTTCCTGCAGTGATGAGTATTAAAGCTGCTTAGCTACT